TCCGCAGACCGAACCTGTCCGTCCGCCGAGTACCAAACAACAGACATGTGAGGGTGCGGCGCGACACGGGAGCAAACGTATCCCACGAAAAGAAAAAAAAGAATCTCGAATGTAACAAACTTCTTTTGTCAGGATCCCTTTCGCGTCGCATGGGGTGAAAGGGATTAGCCGTGAGTCATTTAGGGGCGCGGCGTGGCGACTGATTGACTGATAGGCTTACTGGGGGGAGTAGGCCGGCCTGCGCTAGGCCCCCGGGCTGACCAGCGCTGACCAGCCGAGCCGGGCACCCTCGGCATTGCACGACACGTGGCGCAGGCCCCCGACTCTCTCTCTCTCTCTCTCTCTCTCTCTCTCTCTCTCTCAACCGCTGCACCAGTCTACCCTCTCTGACGTTCATATACCCGTCATTCAACAAATGGTCAGTGAAAGATCAATGACTTTTTCTACCGTTCCTGATCAGGAAAATTGAAGAGGTGTCATCAGGGAAATTTGATTAGGGGGGTCAGCAGAGGGGACGATTGCCAAATTGATAGCATGTTGGTCTATGCAGTTGCGGTGCCCCACATTGCCTCATTTTTCTTCCTTAGGTTTTGTTTTATGACCAAGGTACACCGTAACATTCAGAAAAGTCAGCCGAACTTGTCCTCTGGAGGTCACGGGACAGCCAGTGAGCGCTGCCCTCGTCCGCACCCCTCCGCCCGTTGCAACTACCCAGATGACCCGTTGCGCCGGGGTCCAGTTGGGTCCGGTCCGGTCCAGCCTCCGGCTGATATGCAAATCGCCAGATAATACGCTGTGTAATTGACACACTCGCTGCTGCTGCTGCTGCTGCTGCTGCTGCTGCTGCTGCTGCTGCTGCTGAGCAGCACACCAGGACGGAGGGGAAGGAAATAAAAATATACAATTCCTGGTCAGTTTACTGACGCCATACTTTATCTTTTACAGATTCTTCTTGCGGCTCCCTGGCTACATTTCTACAATGCCCTATCGATGCGGTGTTTGCTCAAAAGAGATTTCTTCCCAAGCCAGACACGTGGCTCACATGAAGATACATTCAAGAAAGGAGCTTTTCGATTGCACCGTTTGCCTCAAGAAATTATCAAGCGGCACTTCTCTACGAGTACATCTCCGAACGCACACGGGAGAAAAACCGTTTGAGTGTACAGTCTGCAACAAGAAATTTTCGCAAAGTAATGAATTGCGTGTTCATCTCCGTACGCACACTGGAGAAAAGCCGTTTGAGTGTACGCTCTGCAACAAGAAATTTTCGAATGGTGGGCATTTGCGTGATCATCTCCGTACGCACACAGGAGAAAAGCCTTTTGAGTGTACAGTGTGCAAGAAGACGTTTTCGAGAGGTGGGCATTTGCGTCGTCATCTCCGTACGCACACTGGAGAAAAGCCTTTTCAGTGCACAATCTGCAACAAGAAATTTTCGAACAGTTCGGCTTTGCATATTCATCTCCTAACGCATACTGGAGAAAAGCCTTTTGAGTGTACAGTGTGCAACAAGAAATTCTCGCAAGGTGGGCATTTCCGTGCTCATTTACGAATGCATTCTGGAGAAAAGCCTTTTCAGTGTACAGAGTGTTACAAGAAATTTGCGGAAAGTGGGACTTTGCGTGATCATCTCCGAACCCACACGGGAGAAAAGCCTTTCGAGTGCACTGTGTGCCATCAGACATTCTCACATCGTCAAGGTTTGCGTATTCATTCCAAAACCCACATGACTTAGCATTTAGATGCATTAGATGCATTGCATACTGCCAACATATTTTCGGCGGGTGTCTAGTTATCTTGCGTTTTCTAACTGCAAATGGGCGTGTATAGCTTTGAACATTGGGTAAAAATGTCCTAAACTATTTTAAGTAATCTGAATGTACTTTCTGATATAGTTTGTATTAAGCTTTTATATTGAATTTTTATTTGTTTTAATTCTTTTTTGACCGGCATAGAGTTTGACATTGAAAAAGCAGATCACCATTTTGTTGGTGTATCTAGGCTGGCTTGGCCTCGGAGCAGCTTGCTGAGTGATTGCAAACCACTAAATTGCGAGCAAATTGTCGGAATTACAACTAAGTTTACATTAAATAAAAAGAAAAATTACTGATTGTCAATAATAAATACTGATAAAACACCAACTTTACTGCTATTTTTTTAAATGCTGTGTGCTTTTTACCATAAGAACGACTGCAAGGAAACGAAAATAAAGTTGATTACTCGAGTCGTCACCACTCTCTTTTCTCTCTTGTAGGAGTATTGTTCCAGGTAAATTTTCCATTACAACTGTCGGTCTCTTTTTCAGTTATGTGTCTTGAGGTTGCGCGGGCTTGCAGTTTGCAGGCGTGGGCCGCGCTTCTGCA